TGCAGGGAATGAAGGGTGTTTACTGAGCGCAGGGAAACACTGCTGGCTGAGTGGGGAGGGGCAATGACTGAGGTCTGGTCTGATCCCTCTGTCTACTATGATCAGGTTTTCAACTAGGAAACTGCTACCTTTCTAAGATGTCATGTCTTACTTTGGGAGAAATAGACACATCTTCTAAGAGATAGAGGACCCCTCTGGCTGTAAATAAACATAAGAGCACCTTGTTTATCTAGAACACTTAGAGGCCAAATATCCAAAACCTTAAATATGCAGAATATGAGGGTGTGGGGCGTTTAGAAGAAAAGATTATGAGCTACTACACACTGCTGCTGAGAACTCCATCCTCTGTTGCTCTTACACTTTGTCACTTTGGGATCTCTCCCGAATCCTAACTCTGCTGAAGCCAGCTGGAAGTGCTGGCCTTGGGATTGCACCTGGCTTGGGCGAAGCTTAGATCCCAGAACCCAAACTTCCCAACAGACAGCAAGGGCTCCTCAAGCAAAACTGGTAACCCAATAAAAAAGCAAAACCAAGTCAGAAGGGGAAGGCTCCAGGAGGCAGGCATACTCGTAACAGGATGCGAAAGCAGGGGGAGTGATAGAAAATAGCCCCAAACTGTCCTGTGACAAAGTCCAATGATGCTAACACAGTTGCTAGTTTATTGGGCATCTACCTAAAAAGGCAGAGCAATCTTGCAAAATATTTATGATTATGACAGCTTTGCAGATGAGGAACCTGAAGCCTGGGAAGTTTAAAAGGTCAATAAAAATTCAAATCTAAATCTGCCTGTTCCAAATATGGCATTACCTGGATGCTGTCACAAAAGTGAAGCCTGAGTCATCAAGAAAAAGTTGACTACTCTCAATGTAGGTTTTAAAAAGACAGGGAAGTGCAGCACATGATTTAGAATGTTCTTGATCAGAAATCCTTCAAAGAAGAACTTTTGGAACTCTTTAAAGTTCTTTTTTAAAGAACTTTAAAGGTGGATATTTCAGTATCTGGACATGTCACCTAAATAGAATGTCATTCTTCAATGATATGTGGTAAATGAGATATTGCTGTGCTGAACATAGCCATAAAATCATTTAGGCAGACTTCCTTAAGAGGTTTTTAGCCTAAGAAACGTTCTTTCATTTCTTGATAGTGGCTTTTGCATTTTCTGAGACCCATCAAGATACCCATCTAGAAATTGCTAATTCTTTTTTTTTTTTTTCTGAGACAAAGTCTCACTCTTTCGCTCAGGCCCGAATGCAGTGGTGCAACCTCGGCTCACTGCAACCTCTGCCTCCCAGGTTCAAGCGATTCTCCTGCCTCAGCCTCCAGAGTAGCTGGGATTACAGGTGTGCACTACAAAGCCTAGCTAATTTTTTGTATTTTTAGTAGAGATGGGGTGTCACCATGTTGGCCAGGCTGGTCTTGAACTCCTGACCTCAGGTGACCTGCCTGTCTTGGCCTCCCAAAGTGCTGGGATTACAGGTAGAAATTACCAATTCTTAAAAGGGCCCAGCCTCTTAGTTTTGGTTTTATTTGAACCTCTGGGATGGGGTGGGTGCTGGGCCTGTTTCTGAACTCCTCAACTAGCTGTGTATCATATGGAGGTGGGTGTTTTTAAAAATGTATACATTTTAAATTTTAGAAATGGAAAAAACCACTCAACTTTGTGTATGGGTTTGTAAAACCATAACATTCAGTCTGCTGGCTGATGACTCAAGCGGAAGGCCTCTGTCTGCCGGAGCAGCCACATCCCAGCGTCCTCTGCTCCTCGGGGAATAAAATGGCTTCTCTCTGTTTGCCCAGACGGCCTGGAGTCTTGCCCTTTTGTCCTTAGGCCACAGGAGTCCGGCAGTGCCACAGCGGCCTCTGGTTTCTGCCCACAGCTTCTACACAGGCTCCCAAACAGCCTGTGAGTGCCCAGGATTTGCATTTCTACAAGTGCCTGGCGGGAGGAGTCAAGGGAAGGTCACTAGAGATGGTGGCCTTGGGTTGCACTGGGTCAGGCAAAGCTGTGGCTTGTGAGTGAAATTTTCCAAGCACACAGCAAGCTTCAATGGAACAAAGTTAATAATAAGCAACGGTTAGGGGAAAAGGTCTGTCTGGGGTTGACTCAGCAACGGTCTCAACCTTTGGGATGTAGATTTCAAGGTATACAGAGAGCCAAGGGCCCAGGATAAATAAGTTCATATCATGGCCCTGTTCCCAGGCCTTGGGGCAATCTTTGCGGTTACCCCAGCACATAGGAAGAACCCGGGCAAACACGAGGTTGGGCGTGCCGACTACTGCTCTTTCTCCACAGCTAGGCTGGCTGCTTCTTCTCCTGACTTTCTTGCTCAGTTCCCCTTTTTCTGGGGCGTTGCTGCTGTGCTCTATGATTGGGAGGCCAGCCCAGGCAGTTTTCATTTGGGAAGTATCCACCTTATAGGTCTGCAGAGCCAAATCCAATTTGAAGCATGAACCCAAAATAAAAGGAGAAAGCAGGCTAATTTCCTTGGATAGTGAGTGCTTTTCAAACCCAGGAGCTCCCTTGGAATGAAAATGCAGTTTGGAAGAGAGTGGGAGAGCCGGAACAAGATGGAACTTCCAGGACTTCAATTAGATTGATTGTTCCTTTCACAAGAAAGTAAAACAAGGCAGTGGGGAGGGCAAGCCCACTTATTGCAAATGCAAATGGCCAGAAATACCTTGAAGAACGAGAGGCTGAGAAAACCAGATGTGTCTTTCTAAATACAAACTAACGAGAGAAAGAGAAACGGGGAGTAGAGGAGAAAAGTGGGGAGGAACAGAGAATTAATGACAAAGTGAGGTGGATGAGGCTTAATCCTAACAGAGCCTCTCTGACAGTTTGGCACTGGGGGAAACAGATCCCAGAAAGATTTTTTTCTGACCTCCCGCACTTTTTAGGTTCAAACCAGACACATGAGGTCATGGAATGAGGAGAAAAACAGGAAGTAATATAGCGAGGATGATAAGCCAGATGATACCCCTGTAAATCGCTGCTTCCCCCACTCCAACTCCAGCAAGGGAAATGCCTTCTTCTTTCCCTTCTCAGAGGCTCTGGCGACCTTCAGTTCTCCCCATCTCTGGGACTGAGTCCTGTATATGGAAGGGACACCCCGCAGCCCAAAGCAGGCCAGGAGCATGTGTTTCAGGCTTTTCATCCTTCCCAACATGTTTTAAATCATGCTTACTAGCTCCTAAGTTTTTCCCTCCAAAAGCCATGCTTTCTCCCTCTGCCACTATGAATATACATAGGATGACCTCTTGGCAATTTCCCTGGGAGATTTGCTGGCATAAGCATAACAGAATTTGGCCCTCAGTCTAGAGAGGTGCTTAGTCAAATTTCTCTGAGCTCAGAACTAGGCTCTCTGTACATTATGCTTCCATCTGTGCCAAACTTCTGCAGTCCAGCCAGAGGAATCAGGGCCCCAAACCCCTTATAAAGAAGCTCTTCTAACAGAAATTCTTGATCAAGTTCACTGTCAGGGAATCAGAAGGCTTGGGATGCTAAGCAAATGTATCCAGGGTGCACATATAACTTAGACAAAGAGGAACTGAAGAGTTTCCCTATGTCATCCGTTGAGTCAAGAGTGGATATGAGATTAGAAACTCCATCTTATGACTCTTCGTCACATGAGGCATCTATCCGGGAAACCCTTTGATTTTCAACAAAGACTACCTCTTGTTAGGAGAAAACCATTACGTAGGTGCAAAGTAGTCCTAGGAGGATAATAATGACTTCAATTCACTGAGCCTCACAGTCTAGCACTAGTTAGAGAGGGCCCTTGTTTCCTCCATGAGGAAATCTGGCCCAGACCTGGCCTGTGGGAGCTTTGCCTGCTCCTTGGTACCTGTCCCGCCAGCTTGCCCCTTTATTAATGTTTCAGTATTCGCAATGCCTTAATAGCAAGGAATGCTTAGATAATTTATTAGTCACATGGGAGCACTGAATGCTTATCAGAGTAACAGCACATTTAGGGCCGAATATGACTGTTGGCATATTCTTTTCTGCACAAAAACTCTCACTTTAATTCCAATGAGGAAAGACTTTAAGAGGGAGCTCAGTAGACAGTGCAAAGCACATCTGTATTCCAGACATGATAATGCTGCTGCTGCTTCCCAACCTTAACTTTTAGGGACCTCGGTGTTAACATGGCATTTCTAAAGTACTCACAAGTGTCTAAATGTCCACTTGGGAGTTCCTAAGCCACACATTTCCAGGGTGGCAGAACTAATGCTGTCAGACCAGCTGAGTCATGTTGGGTGACTGACCTAACCTCTCTGTGCTTCCCTTTTCTCTTTTGCAAAATGGAGATCATAACAGCACCAACTTCCCAGCCCACTGTACAAAGTAAATGGATTAATATTTGTAATGCAATGAGAACAGAGTTTGTTAAATAAATCCCTAACACTGACTTTGAGACCCTAACTTGTGTAGCATAGGTATCAAGAACCAATATGAGTCTTAGAACTACTTTGATTTTTTTAACCCCCTTTTTTTTTCTATAAGGAAACCAGTTACCACTGTATAAAGTAACAGGCTGATCCTGCGTGGCCGGATGCAGAGAAAGTCTCCACTTGGGGGTACGGCTGCTATCTTACTATGGAAACGGGTAGGGTTTACACATGTAACAGCCTTGGAAATGGGTAGATCTCCAAGTGGAAGGTAAACCCCAAAGTCTAGCGGTGGAGTTTTGTAGGCCACCCCCTGTCACCGCATGGAAATTCTCCTTCACTGCCACCCTTTGGAGGTAGGTTAATATTCTCTACTTTGCCCTCAAGAAGGCTTTTCCTACCATGCTGCGGGATCAACCACACCTTTATTTCCCTGGAAAGGGAATGTCCCCTTGAGGTTTTCCTCTGGGGCCAGGATCCACCACTGGTTAGCAGCAGGTCTTGGGGTGAGGGGTGCTGCCACTGCGTGCTAGAAGTGACAAGAGCCGGGGTGGGGGGTAGAGCACGTGTGTCTCATGGACGGGATACACAGGGGACAGAACGGAGCTTACTTGCAGTCATGCTTCTCGATTTCAAAGTGAGGGTTGAAGTTGAGGACAATCTTCTGGTTGGGGTCGGGGGCGTAAACAATCCACTCGCAGTTCTGGTGGGAGGGGTAGTCCTGGGGGTAACCAGGAGAGGTGATGTAGCCAGCAACTTTGGAATTCAAACGGCCTCCGCACGGTGGGTCTGAAAGAGAATCCAACAACCCAGAGAACTTCACATATGCTGCGGCTTTCTTCCCCCCCACTCCCTCCTTCTCTTCTGTACCAGTGTCTGATTAAAACTATTTTACAGACCTTTTATGGCAGTCCAGAAGACTAACCTACTTACTCATTCGGTGGAAGAGATTATTCCAGCTCATCCCTCCCCCTACCCACCCGACTACACACACACACAGATGAAAGTATTCCAGAACATGGCCATAAATATTCTCAATTACATGGTCTGCGATTAAAAAAACAAGAGGACTGCAAACTCAACATGCCTCCCTGCCTTTCCTGCCTCCCGTCCTTGGCCCATCTTCCTCTCCTCGTTCAACCTCGCATCTCTATCTTTATCTCATAAATCCTTCATTTGATTCGGTGTCTCCCAGCCCAGCCCAGCAGCCGGCAGTCAGGGCTCCGGGAACTGACAATGGTGGTTTTGTGGTGCCGACCCACAAGCGAGCCTGGCAACAATTACATGTGGAGCAGAGGAAGCACTTTCAGCTTTGGGCCAGCACAGGGCCTGGAGGGTGATTGCAGCTTTTTTTTTAAGAAAAAAAAAAAAAAAAGCAAAACCCCCAAACATTTAATTCCACATATACCGCAAATCTGATTTATTATTTCATTATACACCGAACGGAAAAACCTGTATTAAAGAATCTACTGGCTCCAGTCTTGGAATTTCGACAAAGGTGCTTTGTGTTGAATGAATGTCTGTTTCTTGTGCGCTGCCCACTGTCTCTCCTGCCTGGTCACCACCACCAGAGTGTGCTGCTGCTTTGTCCGGCCACACTGGTCATTTGCAGGAAGAGGTGGCTCCCTGTACCAGCAGTGCCTGGCTGGAGGCAAACAGCTTCATGTGGCGCAGGAGGGAAGGGAGCCACCTTCAAAGGCTGCAAAGGTGGCTGATGACATTTGAGGAATCTCATCTATTTGGGAGTAAAGTTCTGCAATCCCCAGCAGGGATTCTTGGGAAATAGGGAGTTTTGCTTAAATACCGCAGTAGAACAGAAGCTGGGAAGGCACAAGAGACATGGAAATATTCAGAAGGCTCTCGGAGCCCTTCCTGAGATGTGTGTGTCTCTTAGCATCAATCACGATTTAATATCGCCATCTGCATGGAGCAGCATGGGCCCGTGAATTATGTATTACGACTCAGCAGCCACCCTCCAGGATGGGTCTTTCTTCTGTGTTCACTCTTTGAGGGAACGGGTCATGCATTTTTTAACTCTACAGGTGCACTTTACTATTCCCCGTGTCTGCTGGCATTACTATCTCCCAGACCTCTGCTTTAGATTACTGGCCTGACAGGCTTTCAATGCATAAAAGATGGGCACGCTTCACATGGGTGGTTGGGACACAAATCCACACAAGTAGCCTTTCCGGGATCAAGCCTCCGGGAGCTCAAACTATGCCATGTTGAGCTGCCCAGAATTGAATGGATTCAAGTCCATTTCCTACTGGGTGGAAAACAACAGCAGCCATTTCCTCAGGCTAGTAGACAGCACATCATCTTCTTACCTAATGACCCTATACCCACCCCAACCCATGAGGACAATGGGCCCATCCCTCCCACCCAGACCACAAGAGACCAGCAATGAGGCCCATTTCCTCTGCAGCCAGTACCCACAGGCTTTCCAGGTGCCCGCACCACTCACCCATGCTGGGCACACACTGTCATCTAGCCAGCCAAATTCTAGCCCGTTGGTCCAGGCTTATGCATATAAAATGAGGCGGAGTGGCCCTCTGAGAAGGCAGAGGTGTGAGGACAGATCACCAGCTGCTCTTACTCAACTAGCAGAAGAGGGAATTTTCTACTGGCTCCAGCTCTCTGCCAGCTATTTTGCAGAAAACTGCAGCCCTGCCACCAACTCACCCCAAACCACACTTTTTTCCCTTGGAATTCATCAGAGGAAACCTGAGCTGAGCTCCTGTTTAGTAACTGTTATGGTTTCCACACACTCCCCACTGTCCCCACCCACACTCTCTCCCTCCTTTCCCCATCCCTTCCTCTACTTCTCTCCAACCACTCTTGAAAGAGGAACTTTTCTCCCTCAATTTCCCCACTTTCCAGGTTTAGGCTTTTAGTAATTAGACCAGGCACACAGATCAGCAGTAAAGATGGGAAACTTCTTCACAAAGGTTTCATTTTTCATCTAAAGTAAAAGTGATCATTCTCCACTACAAAAAAAAATTTAAACTATATATATCCCATAGCTGATAGTCTGCACTGTCTGCTGTTAAACCAAAAGAAAAAGGAGTAATCCATTTCCTTTTTACTATCCTTTCTTTATCTGAAGAAAATCAAGACACTTATTGAAGTATCGGAGAACTCATTGAAACATGTGCCCCAGTTGTGTTGGTTAACTTTTTCAATTTTCACAAATGTATAAACCCACATTCTTGCTTGGCTTGCATTCACACTCAGAAACACACAAACATAGATATTGAACATACTTCAAGAACATATACATATCATTAATTCACACTTTAGTCCTGTACACACGTTCACACCTTCTCATAAAATATCACACATCATTTGCACAAACATATATCCACAAAGATAAACACTAGAATTTCTGTTTTTATTTTTCTTGGAGAGAATAGAATTCTTGAAACATATCGGTAAAAATTTTAAAGAAAACACACTTAATCATAATTCATCTCCTCTTGATAACTGATCTTTCATTTCTAGGGTTGAGGACACACATTTCTTAAATACAAACATGTCCCAGTAGAAATTAGCTAGAATTTCTTCTGAAGAGCTATACCATCCATTACTTTGTAGGCCTTTACTGTGTTCAGAAATGAACTTTATACATGGTTTCTGTCCTGTTTCGAAGGAGTCAAGCTAAGCCAAAGGAGAGTTGAACTCAAGGGCAAAACCCTTAAGGCCAATCTCCACATACAGAGGGTAAATTGACCCTGTGGAAGTTTGAGCTACTGAGCCTGTTTGGTGAGTTGACAAAGGACTTCATTCTGCAACTATTTCGTGAATACCTTTCACCTGGGGCAAATTCATCACCCAAAGAGAGATAGCAAAACCTAGGTTTGGACCGATCAGAGCAGTTTTCTCCTACGCCTGCCGGATGAGCCAGGCCAGGTCTGAGAAAGGCCCAAGGCTGACGGGAATAAGGTGACAGATCCAGATGTAATTGGAAATAAAGGGAACACTAAGTTCTGAGGTTACCAAGTTCTGATTTTCCTCCTCTAATGACTGCTTGGGTGTTTCTATTTGAAATGTAAAAGATCAGATTGTCTTAAACTCTTTCTGTCTTGTTCTTTTTCTCTTAAGTATTGTTGTGATACCGCCTGGGTAACGTAGCCCTGGAAAGGCAAAGGGATATTGTACACCTTCACTTAGGAACCCACCTTCCTACAAAACCCAATCACTTGCCTTGCGAATGTTTAATTTTTAAGAAGTATTAAGAATGGGAAAAGAAGATCTTGTAAAATCTGGTCTGCCTTCTAGAAAAATTTAGTTGGTATCGTTTTAAAAGACACTGTATAACCTGGACGGGAAGATAATGTTTGCTGAATACTGAAGCCTGACTGTAGTGAGAACCTTCTAATTAGTCGGATTACTATGGCTAACTTCACCACAGCTTGGTAAAAGACTAATCAGATCCCTCACTTTAGTTGAACTGAAGGAGAGAGCCCTTGGCAAAACCAGGGAAATTTGGCCACTGGCTGGATGTAGGATACAGGGTCCAGTTGTAAAAGGTGAGTCTGGGGTAATGGGACTGGGTTGCCAGGAGAGGGAGGGATGGACATAGGCAGAAAGATGGGAGATGGCACCCAGCCCTTAACTCACTCACTTTGACCTTTCTGAGGCTCAGCTTCGCAAACTGTAATTCAATGAATGGACTGAATTAGGTGTGTAGCTTTCAGATTTATTTATTTTTTTTGAAGTACTTTTTTTTTTTCTTGAAGAAAACTCTACCTAGACCTCTAATGTACAAAGAAAATAAAAGCGAGCTCTTCTTGGATGCTGGGAGGGAAGTGGCCAGAGGCAGTGTAGAGTCTAGGCCTCCCAGACTCTGCCCGCAGCTCGGAGGGGCTTCTCTGCAAGGCCTGCTGGAACATGGTTTGAAACCCTCTAAATGGGGCATCTCCATTCTCTGTTACTTTAAAATGCCATGGGAAAGAGAAAGAGCAGAGGATTAGGAGACATCTATTTCCTATGTATACCTGAGGACACTTAGTGGAGAAAAGCAATCAGTCTCATTTCCCCTGAAAATAATACACTACATTTACTTTACAATTTATTCTTCATCCACAGCATAATCTCATCTTGTCCCTATTTCCACAGCATTGTTTTCATTTAATTATTGGCAGCAAGGCAAAGAAGAAACTCTTTCTACTATTTTAAAAGAAAGGAAGTTGTCACCTTGTCACTTAACTTACTCCACCAGGGCAGTTCATTGGAAATAGCACTGGAGCAGGATGTAAAAGCCTAGTAATCAAGTCTGGTCTCACCACTGGCAAGCTGTGTGACCTTGGGTAAGTTAGTAGACAACTCTGAGCGTTTGCTTTCTCATCTAGAGAATGAGAAGAATGATTTTAAAGGTCAGTTCCAGTGCTAAAATCCAAAGCCCATATAATGAGGTGGGGAAAAAATCCTATAACCCATAGATTGAGCCAAAAATTCAAAAGATTCTCTACTCTCCTAAACAATAAGACATTTATTCAAGGTGCTACCTCTGTTCTGTCTTCTTGGTAAGCCTGAAACAAAACTGCAGGATTCTTCAGATGAACATGTCTGTCTTGCATTACGGAGAGTTCAAATGTCTCCTTTAATCACATTAGGTCTACTAACATGAGTTTCTTTTTGTAACTGAGCCTGTGGCTGCGTATTTATAAATATTATGGATACACAGTTCTGTGTGTGAGCATGTCAACAACTGTGGTGCATGAGAAGGAAAACCAAAAGGAGTTTCTTCAAATCCCTCACCCAGATCATCTAAGGCCTTGGCTCAGGGT